TAACATCTTTAGCATGAAACTAAATCCGACTTAATCAGCACTTTTCGGCACATTCAGCTATTGTTGTTCGCTTTGGGGGTTACTTTCAAATTATTTTTCTTTTATTGTCAAAATGTAACGAAAGCTTTAAATATTTATTACGTAATTAACTGTGATAGTAACTTAAGTGCATTGCTCATCTCCTTTGTCTTCCATTTATAGCGATTGTAAGTTGAATTAATTTAATTTTAGTTTAAATAATTAGGTTTGTCTTCCGGTTTGTTTGTTTTGCTTTAATTTAAGTTCATTTATAACAATAATTATAAAAATTGTAATTTTGTAAATATCCACTTAGTTATTTAAGTAAGTAAGATAATAAATAAGAATAAATAAAAGTTTTACGACAACAACACATAAAACAACATTTAACAAAGATTTTCTTTTTTCAATTTCCACCAAAAACCGCTAAAAGCGGAACACAAAGGCGATATGAAAAATTTGTATAAAAAAAAAAAAAAAACAAATTCCTTCATAAATATATATAAAACAAGTAAGAAAACTATATTCGGCTGTGAACCGAAACGTTTACACTCACTAGCTTTAACCTAAAAAAAAAATAAAAAAAAAAAAAAAAAAAAAAACAACGTAAAAATGTTGTTTTCATCTATAGTACTGGGTGAACGTGACAAATGCATTTTCCATTTTTCAAGAATGTAAGAAGAAGAAGAATTCATTGTCGAATATCTGTTGCAGTCAATGAGTGATGAGTCAAAAACTCAGAAAGCAGAAGTGTTCTCAGATTACGTAGGGGTATCCTTCGGACAATTTGGGGCTAATGGCTTGATTTTTGCGGCTTGACCAGTGCTTAACACAGCCAGAAATAGAGACAAACGAAAGGAAAAATAAGTATGCTTACGGTCAATGAAACTTCCTCCTTAGTTGTGTCAACGTATTGACGAAGTGAAAATAGCCTAAGATTTCGGTCGTATTAGTATAAAAAGATCAAGCGATTGCCGCTAGACCAAACAGCATTCACATTTGCTATAGAACTTAAGCAAGATTTAAAGATCGAGAGAAAGCTTAGCAATACGCACTGATAAAATGTGCACATGGTACGCGTTCGCATAAAATACGCTCTCAAGTGAAGAACATGTTATTGCTTACAAGTAAGAATACTATAACCGGAGAAGGCCAATCACTGGATATTCTACATCACTTCTTCTAAAACGAAAGACATTATTTCTGAACCAATCGGTATAACAAAAATTGGATTTATTTCAAGTTCTTCTGGATGTTACAAAAGTCCACGCAAACTTGACATAGTCTCTACCACAAGTGTTGTACGGTATTTAATGTTAGCTCGAGGCTGGCTATAGTGTCTTTACTTGTTTTATTTAATTGTTGTTTATATTTATCTCGGGCTTATAGGGCATGAAAATGTGCTTTGGGAACTCTTTGACCGATATGTCGGGTGAACGGATCTAGATTCTATCTTCTAATGAAATCGCTTAGACCAGTTAATAATGTCTGTTAACCCTTTGCGGCTGATATCGCTGTAGTGCAGGAACTTGGAATTCGTCGTACAAATCGATCAGCCTGATAGCATGGTGAGGATCACATTTTGGAAAATTATAGAAAATAAAAATTTATATATTTGTAAACAAGCAAAAAAGTTATAGTCGGCGGGGGACGAATCGCGCATACCCATCATTTCGATTTTCGCATCCCACTCTCCAATTTCTTTTATTTGATACCCATATCGCTGGTATTATTAAGAAAAAATTAACCGCAGTGTCGACCATATTCATCAAAATTAACCCATTTTTAGGCATATAATATATCTTCATTTAAGGGCTGTACGCATCAGTTTTGAATATTCGGTCTTGTTTGCCTTATGATAAATAAGCATAGAATGTCAAAAAACTGAAAAAAAATAAAATTTAATTACTCGTAATTTTGTGTGGGCATGGCCGATTGGCTCTATTTTTCAATCTAAAGTAGAGTAGAGCATTTCCTAAACTAAATGTGGAAAATTGCAGCCTTCTAACTTTAATAAGGAGCAAATACCCACAAATTTTCGTTAAGAAAAACGGAGTTGCTTTCAGTTTATGCTGCATTGCCGGTCTCTGCTTTCCTCAATTTGGCCCATTTTCAATACCAAACTGCCTGCAGAAGCTTGCAATGTTTCTACGAAATTTCAAGTCGATTTCTTCATTTCTGCGATCAAGAGACACCCCGATGCACAGATACACTGACGGATGGACATGGCTAAATCATTTCAGAATTTCACGCTGATCAAGATTATATATATAATTTATAGGGTTTCTAAAGCTTCCTTTCGGATGTTATATATATTTCGGAAAGAAACAAAATGAGTATACCCGCACCTTACAGTAGTGGGTAAAAAGGTACATAATTCTGCGGATTTCAATCTACGTATAATTGCTTTAAATCGTAAAGGGAGAAATAACTATGCAGGTCGTTTAAACGTTAAACACAAGCACAACGACGATTATACGAAATGAGATAAACAAATTTCACTGATCAGGAATATTCATAAGCGTAAAGCTTCATAAGCTCGAAACCGTTCGCGTGGGTCTTACAAGTTTAATCATAAAAATTCTATTTTCTTATTCTCCGATATATAGGGAATATAAAATGTTAAAAAAAAAAATAATATTACTATGTAAGTAGTAAAAGTGAATAACTTATGGTATTACAATTACAGGATAGACAATTAAGTTGTTTAGGAAGCCCGTATGAAAGGAGTTGACAGCTCGGGAAGCAAGTTATATATATGTAAACAGCCTACCGACCACATGATTTTATATGAAATTAATTAAGAAATTTACGAACCCAGATCCTGCAATATATGTGAGGTGGTGAGGCGCTTTTTGATTGACATATAAACACCATTTTCTTATTATTATTCTCATGAATGAGAACATATGTCAAATGTCAGTCTTTTAAAACTCACATTGCACCATCTTTTGAGATAACTAGATGAAAAATGTAAATGGTTCATATAATTAGTATTCATGTTTGGTAATAACCACATTTACCCGACTCTAAAGTCATCTATTGTGAAAACCGGTTTTATAGCTACAATCAAAGTACATTTTGTTCTGCCTTCTTTACTATGAAAAGAAAAACAAAAAAAAAAAAATATATTTTAGGTTAAAGTAATAATCGGGAGCCAGCCGACCGAACCAGCGTTTATTGCTCGAATCTAACGCTGAAATTAAGATATTGCATATAAAAATCAACCGTAAATGACTGATGATTTTTCCATATTATGAATATTATGATTTTAATTTAGTGAGTAATTTCCTTAGCCAACGAGCGAGCGATCAAAGAGTCCAATAAAAATCCCTCATTAAATATTTTTATTTTCACTCAGATTCATTAAAGCACAGCAAATAGATGTAACTGTTATAGATAAGCATATTGCTAATCCGTGAATGTGTTAAGCTTGGCTTTGGCGAATGTAAAATTTCCTTCTTTTCGTTTCATACCCATCATCGAAGGATAAGGAGTATATTTGTTTTGTCGAAACGCTTGCAACGCCCAAAAGAAACCTTCAGAGACCCCACAAAGTGTATGTATTCTTGATAAGCATCAAATTCGAAATCGATTCAAGTCTGTCCGCCCGTCCGTCCGCCTGTTTGTCTGTCCACCTGTACAATATTAGCATCAAATTCGAAATCGATTCAAGTCTGTCCGTCCGTCCGAAATGTCCGTGCAATGTCTCCTGAAAACTTTCTCCAGGCTACAGCAATAAAGCTATCAACTTCAAATTTGGCAGAAACATTGGAAATTTCGGCATGCAAGTTGGTGTTGGAAACAAATCAAATCGGCCGAAAGACACGCTTACAGCAACACGTAAACTGAGAACACCTCTGTTTAGTTTGTCAAAATTTAATTTTTTTTCAATACTTTTCTAAGGTGCGCAATCAAGCTTAAGAGACCCCTTAAAGTCTATAAATACTAGTTTCAAATTCGTAACGCAACTAAACATGTTCGTCTATTCGTCTGTCCATCTGTCTGTTTGCGCAACTGTATAGCATTTTTGTACATTTGTAAAAGAATTTTGAAGTGTTCTAATTTTTTCAAGGGACACGCCTACAAGCCAATGCGAGAAAAAGATTTATTTTGAAATTAGAAAAAATCGACCGCCGCCACTCCAAATTATAGAGAATAAAATTGTAGTTCTTTGATTTGTTTTGACTTTTTTTTTGGGGTTAACTGCGATGATTATAAAAGATTTAATCGCGATCGAATATACTTGTCAGACTTATCTTTTCTTCTTTGACTGCAAATATCTGCTATATATGTAAGTAACAAGTTCAAGTATTTCGACAAAGGAGATGAGAAAATTACTGGTTTGTCGGCAGCAAACAAAGCCCTAACGTCTTAGTGCACTATGAATAAATTTTCGAAGAACTAGTTGAACCGAAAATCTCAGAAGTATTGCAATATATCTATAAATTCGTTTTGAAAACTAGACTATCAACAGGTTTTCAAGTAAATTTTGATCATTCATAGAAATCCATCTATAAAAAATGAATATATGTGTAGTTTAGCTTAAAGAGTAAACGAATTTTATTTACATTATTTACATAAGCAAAACAAACAAACCGGAAGACAATGTAAGTGAAAGTAAATGAAATCTTAAAACTAAATCTATTATCGAAAGGTGCTTAAAATAGTCTTAAACAAGTGAAACTAAACTTAAAAGCGAATGGAAGACATTATCGTTACATCTAATAAATCACATAAATGATATCGATATGATAAGGATTTTACAACGTTTTGCATTCATCACAGTTACCCGTAAACCAAACTGTGCCTCCGGGTCGGGATTTCGTTGAAGGTTAAGAAGACAGCAATTTTTCGTTTCGTCGGCTTTCTGTAGTGTAGTGCAGCGTCATACAACGTTGTTTGCTTTTGAAGCAATTAAAAGCGTGTTACGTGTGTTGCATTTTCAGTTCCGTAGATTAATGTAGAATCACCACCTCGGGTCAGCACGGTAGGATGCGTCTTTTATCGATCTCTTCATTGAGCCAATTCTGATGCTCTTCCTCCGTACAACAAGTGTAGAAAATCGATTTGTCATTCTTTACCGTTTTACTCTTCTCCCAACTGTTGAAAGATTTTTTAACAAATTTCACCAAATTCCTCACTTGCTTAGTTGAAGGTTTAGTGGCGAAAGGTGTTGAAATTTGCCTTTTCGTAAATTTCGTGGTCGCTCGTTCACCGAACATCTTCGTTGAACTGTTGGAATGTTTGCAGTTTGCAGTTATGCTAGCAAATGTTCACTGATGCCGTTCGCTTATTTAGACTCGGTATTTATACAATTTTTTTACGCTGTTAATATCACGGCAATACTACAGCTCTTTCATTTCGTTTATCTCTTTCTTGCTCTCTTTTTCTTTTGTAAAACTCACACTGAATTCTTGTAATCCTTACCCCTGGTTTTCTTCCTTTTTTTTATTTGGTCCTCTTCCATTGCTTAAAGCAAATAGTAGATAAGCTGTGTAGGTGGTCGGTCATTAGGTGTTTGTGTATATTTTAGGGGTTGTTTGCTGAGTTGTGAGAATTTCACAATTTTTCAAAATATTCCTGTACGTGATAATTTGTATCCATTTAAAAGGCTGTTGTTATCTTATTCATTCCATTATTCGATTTTTAACAATTAAAATTATTTGAAACCAAGTAAAGAATATACAAGAATATCTATATATATATATATATATATATATAATGAATATATATTGAACAAGGCAGAGAGAGACGGTGTCATCGTTAGCCGAAATTTTCGAAACAGGAAAAAAGGTAAAGTTTTTAGCAATGAGAAAAAGAAAGGACTGCAAGGTAACCTCACAGGTTTTTTTTTTTTTTTTTTTTTTTTTTTTTTGTAGAAAGCCCTAATAGGCAAGGAAGGGAAAAAAGTCAATGTAAAAAAGTCGCAGGCGCCTTGGGCTGTCGCCTGAATATCTACAAAAATAAAACTTTTGGCATTTTTTGCATATTGTGAGATTTGTAAATGACTTATATAATATAATATTTTCACATGGACTTGATTTCCATGTGAAACTAATATGTGTAACAGATCTTTGCCCGGCATCTGCAATCTACATTTTGAAATTTTCAGTGTTTTTTCGAGATATTTCAGTGTATATGCGAATATTTTGTCGAGATTGTCTCAGCCTTCGGGCTATTTGCACATGGGCTTGGACTTGGATCTGTGGAACTAATATATGCGAAAGATCTTCGGACGACATCTGCAATGCTAACTTATGTACATTTTCGAGCTTTCAGTATTTTTTCGAGATTGTCTCAGCCTTCGAGTTATTTGCACATGAACTTGATCTTCATGTGAATCTAACATATGTGATAGATATTTGGCCGGCATCTACGATGCGAATTCATCTATATTTTGAAATTTTCAATATTTTGTCGAAATTGTGTCAGCCTTTGAGTTATTTGCACATGGAGTTCATCTTCATGCGAATTTAATATAAGCGAAAGACATCTTGAAATTTTCAGTGCTTTATGGGGATTGTCTCAGCCTATTGCGTGTGTTTGTTTGCCATCTGATAACTTCCTTTTCATAATTGTATTACGGAATCAAGCGGCCATTACTTGGACAAGCTAACCTTTTTTGCCTCTCTTTTTGCTACATCCAAACAATGGCTAGTTTAGCAGACGAAAAGCTTTGGTTAAATCAAATCGACAAAATTTATTTTCATCGTTTGTTTTTCCTATATACGGAATGGTAATTTTAATGTACTGTCAAACATATGGATATAGATTAAAAAATATTCAAAATTTATTATCTAATCAAGATAAATTCATATATACATAAAAGAAACGCAAAGAATTAAACAGATTTTAAATTTAGAAAATTATTTCAAACGTAAGCGTATACTTTTGCTTTAGGAGTAAGAATTTTCAATGAACATGTTTAAACATGTTCGGAGAAATTTTCAAAGGTAATGAGAAAAGAGCAGACAAAAAAATGAACAGGAATGCAATCCTTAGCATCAAACAAAAACACCTCATCAACAGTGAGAGATTGTGAAATTCCGAGAATATACAACAAGAACAAAAAACTAAAGATTACGTTAAAAAGAAATATCTAAGCAGTAATTGTGTTTGGATTAATCGAGTTCATGGGAAAAAAAGGAGAGAAAACCTATTTAAATATTTGGAAAAGAAACACAAGTCGGCAAATTACATATCATGATGAAATACGTAGGAAAAGCGCGAACACGAAGCCATATTCACATTGGACTGATATTAACAGTGGGCGAAAGGCTGGGTGGTTGCATTTCAAAAGTGCCCTATGTATGCACAAATAATTTCTTCTTCTTTTTTTTTTTTTTTTTTTTTTGGGTTAATGTATTAGCGGACTGAACAAGATTTTTTTTGACTATTTTTTTGGTTGTGAATAATTTTGGCGAATCCGACACAAATCACAACCTATTGGCGACACCTATACATTAAATATTGTTTGTAGCTACATCTGAGTCATGTACATGCTCATCTTAAACCATTTGTCGGCATTTTTTGTGTTCTTGCAGCTTTCAGAGGGTAAACGGACAAATGTAGTCAAGAGCGGCAAAGTATGGATGTATATTAATGCAAGATAAGAAAAGAGTTTTCATAGCAGGCTTACAAAATAAATAAATAAATAAATAAATTATAAAAAAAGAAATCTTGAAATATAAATATTTTTCCTGCAAGAGATTGGATTACGTACTTTCGAGGAAGAAAGTCGTGAATCGTCATCGAGAACGGAAAGGAAAATTGTCTTATTTGAATTTCAAGTTAACGATATTAACTGGTTGTGTGTTGCTATATATGTAAACTAAGACTACCGTTGTCAAACAAGGCTTTAGAAGAAAATGAATTATATATATACATATATATATATAAAAAGGCTTCAAAGGTTTTATTTGCACCAATGTCGAAAACTTTTCAATTAAGAGGTGAATCTACTTCCGGTGGCATTGCACCTCCACCCGCAGGTTTCATTAAATGCAATAATGTCTACGGTGGCGAATGATGGAAGCGAAAATATCTGCTGCGGTAGTTGACAAAGTTCCAGTACCGAAGACATATTTTACGAATTTTTGCTTTTCAGCATTAAAACTAATCCGTCATCGTTCTAGCTAGAGATACAAGTTTTTGGTATTTGCTAAGGAAAATTCCATTGACAATGTCGACGACACTTTCTATTCATGCCGAATACATGTATTTGGTCTTGACACGCAGCGAATAGCCAAGTGTGATATATATATATATATATATTTATTTGGCTTGAATGGCTTAGGTTTAGAAATAGCGAAGAACATCGTTTTAGGAGGAGTGAAATCGATCAATCTGCAGTTTTCCCAAGAATGCTGAGAAAGACATTAGGCGAAACCGCTCAAAAGCTTGCTATGAGAAATTGACTGAACTCAATAACTATGTGCGTACGGTTTTACATACCGGAAAATTGACTGAGGACTCTGCTAGTAACAGTCAGCGATGACGAGCAACATCACATTGCAAAGCTTGCTCATGACAATAATATTGCATTGATTAGTGCCCAGACACATGACTCCTTGCCAAAGTATTCTGTGATTTTGGTGAAAATTTTATCATACGCGAACAAGACGGCGTTTCCCCTCATTCCATTGTGATTACTAATATTAGATGGAATTCGGAACGTATGTGTTTAGACGAAAGAGAAGGTTACGGCTTCAACGATCGCATTTATTCTGCTTTCTTCGAAGTAAGCAGCATGATTGCATTGCATACTTATGGATCCACATATTAGGACAATACGCCTTCAGTATTGGCCACAGCCAGAAATTTTGATTTTTGACTTTGCTAAAGTCAATCATCCCCGAACATTGCACATGGCATTCATAGCTTTGTAAAAGTATGTAAAACTTAATTGTTGTGATCGTTAATTGGCTTTGTGCAAAACCATGGACAATAGTGTAATAGACAGCTTGTTTTTGACTTTCGCTAATAAACTGCTTTGAGGGCTTTTGTAGCCCACGATGTATTTAAAGCAACTATACTCAGATTTATCAATGGTTTTACTATGACGCGATTGCATGTTTACACGACTATGAGGTTGAGGAATATGATTCTCAACCAATAGGATGTCCGTATGATGCGGAGATAGCCATTTTTGGTAGCGATGTTAAATAGTTTGCGAACTTTTTGTCGGCAACGGAGTCATCGCTTGTGAATTGTGTAAGAATATTACTATGAATGGGGCTGGCATTCGTAATGGCTGACTGTTCGTTACAGGCCATGTTGAAGAAGCAAATCTTTATCGTCAATTCCGGTGTGGAGACAAAGCCTAGATAAGCCTAAGGGGCAAATAATAGTAAGCGCGACTGTCCGAATAATGAATTCTGATGGAAAAATTAAAGTTTTTGATTGGCCAGCGGTAGGCACCGATACAGAAGCATTGTTTTCGGAAGAATTTTTTGGGTCAATTAGATGGGTGTGGGCAATGTTTTGGATAATCGAGATGCTCGATTCCGGTACGTCAGCTGCAAAGGGATAACGTTCAGAGATTGTGCCCTATTTAACTGAATCGTATAGCTCATCGCAAGATCCGCCAGAGAGACCATTCCGCTATGCGTTTTGACATATTTTCCACATGAAATTCGGCATGCATTGGGCAGTGTGCGGAAGAACGCTTTGAAATCATTTGTAGGCAAATTCCAAGGAAGCTCTTCTTTATATAATCATTCCCCTCTTTGTACAAACACATTCTGGAGACATTGTGGACGACAGTGCTTGAAAGTGTTTTCGCTAATTAAAAAAGACTTAATGGACAACAAGCTTAAAGACAATCATGTCGGGAAAGTAAATACATACAACATTAAACGATTACCATGCCCAGGGTTGGACAACTTGTTTAATTTACAGTGCGATATACAATTACGATTTGAAGAGATTAGCTGAGGCTGAGACAATTTAAGCCAATAAATGAAACTTTATTTATGATAACAAGTGGCGAAATTCACCGAACACCTTCAATATCATCGAATATCAAATATTGAAATAGACGGTCGAGATTCGGTCTTGCATTTACTTTCATTAATATGAGTCATTATTTATTTCTTTAATAGCTTGCGATGCATCTTCCACTATACTGAGATATGCACGAAGCGTTCACGGGATTACAATAATGTCAAAATATTACACAAATTGCTATCCATTCATACATCGCGACTAATGATAGCGTGGA